CAGGTCCCTGGCCCTGGGTCAGGAGCCCTATGCCAGGACGGGAGATGCTTCACCTTTCCTGGGGGCTGGGGTAGCAGTGTGGGGTCCCAGGCTCCTGGCCCTACTCATGACCCTTTCTGGAGGAACCCCTTGGTGTGACTGTGAGACCCGCTGGTGGACACTTCACAGCTTCCTGCCCGGGCTGACCAGGTCCCCAATGAGCAGTCGGGCTGCCAATAAAGAGCCCCCAGCTCAGGCACAGACACAGTTGTTGGGCTGGTTGGAGATGGCCCAAGGGGGGGGGCTGGTCTTTGTACCCCTCCTTTGTCCCTGAAATGGAGCAGGACCCTAGGAGGACCAAATTAGCTTCAATGGTGAGCAGCAGGGAGCAAGGCCTCCATCTGGAAGAGATATTAGAACTCCCTGGTGGCCCCCAGGACGGGCTGGGAGAGAGGTGGCAGAGGCCAGGGCAGGTAGACAGGCTGACTGCAGACTGGCTAAGGGCAGAACCATGACTGGGTAGGCGGCCGGCATCAGAGCCTGCAGTGGCCACGTGAACAGGATGTGGCGTGAGGGGTCTGTGTGCGCGGCTGCGTCTGCTGGCACGGGCCTGTGGCTGAGTCTGAGCGTGCATGTGGCCGTGTGTGCTGGGCAGGCCCAGGGGTGCCCCTGTGCTGCAGGGGCCTCTCCTCTGGGGTGGGGAGCTCACCTGGGCCTTGCCCTGCCCAGCCTTGGAGCCCGCTGTACACAGGAGGCAGAGGGGCCTGCCTGCGGCCAAGGGGAAGCACAGGGAGGCAGGAGGAGGCAGTGCAGAGGCTGGAGGTTGTGGGTGCCCCAGTGCAGCAGCCTGGGCCTCAGAAACAGGCTGCGACCGGCCAGCTTCAGGGACCCGAGGCCAGGGCTAGGATTGACCTGCCTGCGGCACTGGTGTCTGGGTCCAGGTCTTCAGAGGCTTTGTGAAGATCTTGACCCACTGGAGGGTCAGGGGTCTGGCCAAGAACTGTGTGTGTTGTGTGGTTGGGGGACCCTAGTAGAAGCCCAGCTGGGTGTTAGGCCAGGGTCCAGGGAAGGGTAGAGTAGAGAGAGTAGAGGGCTGGGCTTCCTAGGGTGGGCTTGTTTCAGCTGGGGCTGGAAGCAGGGGTGGCTGGTGCAGGGGCTACCCTGGGCCCAGCATCTGGGGATTCCAGGGGAAGGAGCGCTGAGCATGGGAACCTGGTGGTCCTGTGGGAGCAGGGGCCCTCTCCTTCCCCAGGCCCACCCAGGGCACGGACCACAGGCTTCACCCCCTGCAGCCTCTCTCCCCCATGGCGGCCAGTGGGAAGTAGGGCAGCCCTGGAACAGAAGGTCCTCTTGCTGCCTCAGCCTCCGCATCTGCTGCGAGGGTCACCCAACCCCCAGCCCAGCTTCCCCCTGCTACCCACCAGAGCACAGAGGCCTCCGGGTTTACTTGGCTGGTTTTACTGTCATTATTGTAGATCCTACTAGGACTTCAAGAGGCAGGAAGGGGTGAGGAGGTGGCCTGGTGGGCCCTGGGCAGCCTTGTCAGCCAGGTGTGAGGGAGGCCCAGCAGGTGCGGGCTCCAGATGTCACGGCTGGAGATACTGGGACACATAGGCCCTCCTCTTGGAACATCCAGGTGTCAGCAGGGCTGGAGAGGGGCTGGGGGAACCAAGAGCCAAGTGGATGCTTGTCCTGCTGCCCTGCACAGTGGTCACCCTGGCCTCAGGCCCAGTTCCCTCTAGCACCCTCTCAGACCAAGGGCCCAAGTGGCTCTGGCCCAGAGCCACTGTGCTGCCACTGCCCCAACACACCTGCACAGACCCGCACACACCCTGCCGTGCAGACACACACACACACACTCCTCGCACTTGAATGCAGGCTTGCTCTGCAGCGGCTCTTCAGTAAACTTCCTGCTCCTGATGCCCAGAGGCCCTGCAAGGTGGGCTCTAAACCTGCCAACTTTCCTGTCCCCAGCCAGCCCACCCAAACCTCTCTGACCAAAAAAACTAGAGTTGTCGGAGCCTCCCCTTTCCCCACCCCTGGTTCCCAGCTGGCCCACGGGAGGCCTGTGCAGAGGAGCCCCCCAGCCCCACGCAGAGAGGAGCCCCCAGCATGGGCTGTGGCACCATACACAGGCCAGGCGCTTCCCTCCACTGCAGGCCAAGGCTGCAGTCAGGTGCGTCCCACAGGGGCTGGGGCTGGGGCTGGAAAAGGTCTGCCAACCTAAAGCAAGCAGTCCTCTCACCCCACGCAGCCCTGCTGTCCAGTTCCTTTGTCAGCTCCACCTCATCCTGGCTGGAAACCAGAGAAAAGAGGGAGAGGGGGCCGGGTTGTGGCTCGCGGCTCAGTGGTAGAGCGTTTGCCTAACATGCATGAGGCACTGGGTTCAATTCCTGGCACCACATAAAAATAAACAAATACAATAAAGGTACGGTGTCCAACTACTACTAAAATAAATAAATAAATAATATTAAAAAGAGGGAGAGAGGGGGGAAGAGGAAAGAGAAGTCAAACCCGCTGCTGCAGACCCGGGCCCTGGTTGCAGAGAAAAGCTGGTGGCTGCTGAGGTTGCTGCCAGGCTGCTGCGTCCTGCCCCCAGCAGCCTTGCAGCCAAGCCCCCAGGCACCCTGCTTCCAGGCACCTTTAGAGGTCCAGAGGCCAGGTGCTGCGCTCTGGAAGACCAAGGCAGGGAAGGCAAGGTGAGTGCCGCTGCTGCCGCCCACCCCTCCCCCCACCAGAAAAAGACTGCCCCTGCACAGGACAGCCCCTGCACCAGCTGCCCAGTGTCCAGCCTCGGCCCTATACTTGCACTTTCTCTTCCAGGATGAAGGCGCTGTGTAAAGACTCCTCCGAATGGTGACCGCGGTGCCCCATGTCCTCTGTGCTTGACTAGGACTTCCAACTACCGAAACCAGACCAGCGGTGCCCGGCTGCACACCCACCACTCGCTGCCCTCTTGGGAAAGTGTCTTCTGTGGGTAGATACTCTGGCCTGAGGAGACTTTCCTGGACAGCCTGGCGGAGCCTGCAGTCCCCTGTCACATTCTCACACAGTAGCTTCTGAAACACTCCCTTTAACAAAACCCCCGCCCGAGGGCCTAAATTCCTTCTCTTCCCTCGGCATTTCCTCCAGCAGAGACCCAGGCTCCCCAACCTGGGATTCTGCTCAATCCCCACCAAGAGCAGGTCGACCTGCCTTTTCTGGGACCTGGGATTGAGCCCATCTAACAAATTCGGGCCACCGAAGTGCCCCGGGGGCAAGGGAACCTCTGCTTCCCCAGGCAAAAGCCACCCTCTGGGGAGAGGCGTGTCCTGGAACCTTCAAGGAGAGGTGAGCAGTCCCTCCAAATCTGACAGCAGGAACCCCAAGAACCCTGGCCGCGGTGAAGGGGAGAACAGTCAGCCCTTCAGTGGACAGAGGCCAGTGGCCACTCCAGAGGAAACCAGCAGGTTTAGGGGAGCTGGGACGGTTCCTGCCACCAGGACATAACCGTCCTACACCCACCCTGAACCTCCGTCGGTCTTGGTGGCAGCACAGGGCCAGAACCTTCCGGGGCTTGCCCGGCGCAGCCAGGTCAGCCTCCTCATTCCGCACAGCCAGTTTCCACCACGTTAGTTTGGGGTCACCCGGAAATAAAGCAAAGCCCAATCCAGGAATCTCCTTTTCTTTCTTTTCAGGGAGAAGCATGGCAAAAATGAAAGCCACAAATAAAACAGCCAGGCTCCTGAGACTTTGGATCTAAACGGATTTATTGTTTGTGTGTGTTCTTTCCTCAGTTTCGTAGCAAATGAAAACAAAAACAAAACCAAAAAGCAGCAACGCAACAAAACTTTTGACGAGTGGCTACTGCCCAAAGGCCCAGCAGGAGCCGTGGAGGGTGCAGTGTCGCTGGAGTCCCCACCGTGGGCCTGGGAGAACTAGGTCCCCTGACCTGACCGCGGGAGCTTCCACCAGCTTAGAGCTGCAGCCTCCCGTTCTCTCTCCGGGACAGTCCAAAAGGCGGACAAGCTTTTTAAAAAGATTCCACAAACAACGAAACACAATTTAAATTAAAACACTTTCTCTACCCGACCATGCCAGGAGGTTCAGGCCTAACCCTCCTCTTTAAATTCTTTCTTTGAGAAATACTGTGCATTACTTTATTTTCTTTCACTTCTCTTGAGAGTTAAAATAAGATATATTTCCCCAGGAATCATAAATACGATCTGGTGCATAGAGATATAGCAGCGCGGGAGTCCGGGCCAGCCCCCACCCGGCTGAGCACGGGACCCCACCCCCCTCCCCCCCGTCGAGTACAGCAGGGCAGCAGGACCGAACGCGGCGCCGGCGTCCCTCGGCTTCGGTCTCCAGGGAAGGCCGGCGGGGTGGGGGACAAGCGGGCAGCCGGGCAGGCAGGGAACCGGCCCCCGAGCGAGCGAGCGACGCATGCGGGGACTCGCGGACCGCGAGGGAACACCGGCTGGGAAAGGAGGGGGCTTCTTCTGGGTTTTCTTTTCCAATCACCAAGCAAAATAAATAAATGCTTCGAAAACAAGACCGGTTTAAAAAGGAGGAAGAGTAAAAAAGGGCAAGGAAAGGGGAGGCAGAAAACAGAGGCGGCGCGCGGGGCAAGAAGAGGCTGCCCGAGAGGACACCGCCGCGCGGCCCCCCAGCGGGCGGACGGCCGAAGGTCGAAACGGAGAGCCGCGCTCGACATATGTACAAGTGGACGCTTGCGAGGAAGTTAGACCTGGCCCGGGCTTCCCTGGACATCGCCGTCCTCCGCGTGCGGCGGGATCGCGGCAACGTCAGGACTACGACCCCAAGACCGCGCGGAGCAGGAGGGCGCAGGCGGTGAGGCGGGCCTCCACCCGGCACCGCGGGCTTCGCGGAGAGGCGCGCCGGTCCCAGCGCAGGCTGACCACCGCGTATGTGGCTGCACTGGCCCCTTGCGCGCGCCCGGAGCCATTGAGTCCGAGCCGAGGCCTCGGCTGCCTGCGCGAACTTGTCCCCGGTGGCGGTGCGGGCCCGGGGTCCGGCGCTCACAGGAAGAAGTCGGGCGGTGCACCCTTGGCCCCGCCGGGGCCGGGCTGCGCCGGCGAGGGCTCTCGCGGGAAACCGGCCCCGCCCGCGCCCCCGGGGCCGCCCCGGCCCGCCAGCTTCTCGTATTTCTCCTTGTACAGGTCCCGCTCCTTGGCCAGGCGCCCCACCTCCAGCTTCAGCTGCTCCACCTGGCTCTGGAGCTGGCACTTCTCGCTCTCCAGAATGTGCCGCTGCTGCACCCGCTTGAAGCGGCACGACTGTGCGTAGCCGCGGTTCTTTAGCGTGCGCCGCTTCTGCTTCAGCCGCACGACCTCCTCCTTGCTGAAGCCACGGAGCTGCCGGTTCAGCTCGCGTACCGACATAGACACCAGCTGGTCGTCGGAGAAGCGCTCCTCCAGGCGCACGTGGTGGCCCGCGCCGCCGCCGCCGCCATGGCCTGCGCCGCCGTGGTGGCCGGTGCCGCTGTGGTGGTGGTGGTGGTGATGGTGGTGGGCGGCGTGGTGGTGGTGGGCAGTGTGGTGTGCGCCGTGGTGGTGGCCTGCGCCCATGTCGTCCGCGCCGCCGCTGCCAGAGAAGCCCTGGCCCCGGAAGGCCTCGTAGGCCGCGGCGGCCGGGTGATGTGCCCCATGGTGCCCGGCGTGGTGACCACTGCCAATGAGTGCCTCCACCGCGTCCTCGGGCGTCAAGTTGAGCGCCTCCGGGTTGAGGTGGTGCTGGTAGCCACTCATCCAGTACAGATCCTCCAGCGCCGGCTTTCCAGAGGCGCCCCCGACGGCGCCTGGGCCTCCGCTCGGAGGCCCCGGGGCACCGCCGGCCTGTGCTGCGCCGCCGCCGCCCCCCGCTCCGCCGCCGCCGCTGGTGCCGGGGCTGGGCGCACAGAAGCTGGGCGAGGAGGGAACGGAGGAGCAGGGCGTGCTGAGCGGCGTCGAGGAGAGCGAGCCGGGTGGCAGGCGGTGGCAGAAGCGCTCGGCCTCAGGCGGCTCCTTCTTCACCTCGAACTTCATCAGGTCGAAGTCGTTGACGTACTCGATGGCCAGTGGGCTGCTTGGCAGCTCAGCGCCCATCGCCAGCTCCGCGGCCATCGCCCGGGGCCCCAGCCCCGCCGCCGCACCCGGCCGCGCCCCGACGGGCGGCGGGGGTAGTAGCGGCGGGCCTTTCGCCTGCCGAGCTCCCCAAGGGCTGTGGTCCCGGCGGGGGCGAGCGTGGGCGGGGCGCGGGCTCCGGGTTGGGGCACCTAATGGCGCAGGGAAAAGTTTCGTACAGCCAACTCAGAAGTGGTGCGCCGGGAACGGTCGCCAGCCGGGCTTCTAGGGCGGCCCGGGGCCCGCTCCCGGCGGGCGGCGGGCGCACCGCCCGACACCTGCTCCTCCTCCTTGTCCTCGTCCTCTGCTGTCCCTGCCCGGCTGGTGGCTGTGCGGCCACGCCTCGGGCCCTGCTGCCCCGCCCCACGCCCCGCCTGCGCTGCTGTCCGGCCCCGCCTCCCACGGCCGAGCGCGGAGCCTCGCGTGCCTTTATAGAGCCGAGCGCCCAGGCCCGCCTCCCCGGGAGGGGGCACGCGCCCCCGGGCCAATCGGAGCCCCAGCCCTGCCGCTCTCATTTGCTTATCCCCATGGCAACCCGGAGCCCAGCTGTCAGTCTCCTGCGGGAAACAGCTGTGGGAAGGGGTGGGGATAGGCCGCCGGCAAGAGAAGTGGGCAGGGCCCCCTGGCGGCCGTGGCGGAGGACTGCAATCGCGGAGAGCCTGGGGGCGCGGTGGTGCCAGGCTGCTCGGCGGCCTGCGACCTCCCGCAGCCTGGAGTCCGCAACCCTGGGACGGGAGAGTTCCGGGAGCACAGAAGACAGTGTTCAGGAGACCCTTGGGCGCCTCAGGGTCCCTTAGGCCACCCGTCCGGCCGAGCCTCCGCGGTCCCCTCGGGCTCCGCCGGCCTGGAGCCACGTCCCGCTCCGCTGGCGGCGTCCGCACGCGGGGATCTCCGGGCATCCTGACACGGAATGACTGCGCTGTCCTCGAGCTCGGCGCGCCCGCTATTTTTAGATCCGCGGTTCGGGCGGGTTCAGGAATTCAGTCAACAAAGTTGCTGGCACCCCGGGCGGCGGGACGCCCTGCACGTGGGACTCGCTGGGCGCTGAGCTCGCGGCTCGGGTGGAGAGGAATGCGTGGGGCCACCGCGGTGCCGAGGCCCGGGTGCAAGGGGCGCGAAGGTCCCTGGAGCGTGGGGGACAGAGGGCCGGGCGTCCTCCGAGGTGCTGCCTAGGAGCGGATGGACCGACCGTGTCGGGAAGCCGGTGACCGCTGCTTCCCAGCGCCGCGGGGCCTGACACCTGCGGGAGGCAGCCTCGCGCAAGGAGAAACCCGCAGGGTGCGGGGCCGCGCGGAGCCAGAGAACAAGGGGACAAGGATGGGGCCCCTGGGGGCTCCAGGGAAACATGATGGGAGGGTGTATGTACTTTTTTATAACTGACAATTAAAAAACTAAATTTTATTATGATCCCAGAAACTGGGAAGGCTGAGGCAGGAGGATGGCAAATTCTAGGCCTTCCTTGGCCACTTAGTGAAAACCTGTCACAAAATAAAATAGAAAGGACTGGAGATGCAGCTTATCCCTATAGGGGGTAGAGCATACTGGGTTCACTAGCACCAGCAACACAAAAAAGAAAACACCAAAAACAGAACAAAAACTAGATTTTAAATGTGACTATCTGCAGGGAGGATGGTGCATACCTGTAATCCCAGCAACTCAGGAGGCTGAGGCAGGAGGGTGGGCAATTTAGGGAGAGCCTATCTCAAAAATAGAAAGGGCTGGGGATGGAGCTCTGTGGCAGAGCACCCCAGGTTCAATTCCAAAAAACTAAAAAAAAAGTAACCACCTATGCACAGAAAAAAAGACTGGAAGGGTGTACACAGGAAGTCACAGGGCTGGCAGGCATGCCAGCAGGTTGTCTTCAGGGCTTTGCTGTGCTCCCTCTACAAGTGTCTTCTATAAAAATGCCACGAAGGGGCTGGGGGTGTGGCTCAGTGGCAGAGCACTTGCCTATGGAGACCCTGGGTTCCATGCCCACATCTGCAGAGAATGCCAGGGATCTGAAGTGATATTCCAAGGGTGCTCTTTGACCCTCCTCACCGCCATTCCTCAGGGTGGGGCGGGGCTGAGGATCTGGAAGTCCAGGCCTTCCTCTCTGAAAAGGGCCCCCCGTGCAGCCTGAGCTCCCACCGCCACCTCCGCCCCTGAAAGGAGGCTGCCTTGGTGGAACACAGGCTGTGCCTGTGGCCTCACAGCTCCCTCCAGGTGACGGGGAAAAGGGGCCCTGAAAAGTGACCGGCCTTGCCAAAGATGACCTGTGGCAGGTGCAGACCCACAGCCCCCGCCAGGTGCTGAGACTGACCACTGGGTTGGTCAGACATTGAGGCCATTGGACATTGGGTCCATTTGTCCACCTGTGTTCAGAGGAGGCTGTGGAGCAGCTGGAGCAGCCCACTGTAGGAGTGGGAGCAGGTGCCTCCTGCAGCGGCCCACCGGCCTGCTGGGTACTGCGTCCTGTGTGACGCTTAGGCACGCTGGAAAGGGAGCAGAGGAAGGGGGGATGCTGGCATTGGGCAGGCTGTCCACCCGGGCCTGCCTCAGGTGTGGCTCCAAGTCCTGTGGACAAGGTGAGGGGGTTCAGTCACAATCCCAGGAGGGTGCCAGGGAGAGAATGGTGGAGGAGCCTGCCCCCAGGCAGGTAGGAGCTCTCCCGGGGCCACAGCTCCCAGCCTCAGGCCAAGGGATCCCTGTGCTATGGTCAGCAACACCCCCAAACCCACCTGGAGCCTCATCTTGCCATGGGGTGCAGGAAGTTGGATAAGGCTGGGACAGCTTTGCTGATTGGCCCTGACCCCTGTCCACCCCAACCCACTCCAACTCTTCCTCTAGCCAGGACAACCTGCCCTGGACTCTGGTTGTAGAAACCTGAGCCAGTCACCCTCACCTCTCCATCCCCCACCCCTGCCTGTCCCTGCACCAAGCACAGGTCACTCATTCATTTTCTCACCCAAGGCAGGGGTTGGGGGTTGCAGGAACAAGAGCCCTCCCGGCAGGGCAGAGGAAGCAGTTGGTGCAGGAAACAAGGGAGGGCACTGTGGTGGGTAGAGGGAGGTCTGGTCAGCTCTCCCAGGACCACCCTGGTGACCAACAGTGAGATGAAGTGACCAGGGTGCCACTGGTGAGCAAGGACTTCAGAGCTAGCGGGTGGGAGGTGCAGGGAGATGGCAGGGTTCAGTCCTCCTCTGCAGCCGCCTGGGATGGTGGGGGCCTCCTGGGGCAGAGCACCAGCCCCTACTTCCTGGACCAAGCTTCTTCATAGCCCGGACTTGGCCTCTGGAGGCCAGCAGGTCGGACTGGCTTTTTAGAAGTTCTTTGAGCCAACAGAGCCACCTGAGCTCTTGGCCTCCACGTGGGAGCCGGGCTCTTGTCCTGCCTGTCACCTCCCTGCGGCTTGTTAGCCCTTGGTGCTTGGTCTAAGGGCACAGCACCCTTCTTGTTTGTTGATCTGTCAGGCTGGATGGTCAGGCTGGATGGTGAGGCTTCAGAGGACTCCCAGTCCAGCTGGACCCTGCACACACCCTGCAGAGTGAGCTCTGGGGTCAGAAGTTCCTGCCTAGACTGGCCCCTGGTAGACCAGTGAACACCCCTGCCAGGCCCTGGGGGACTGCAGAGAAGGCAGAAAGAAAGGCAGCACCCTGGGCCTTGGGGCTGCTTCCCATCACGCCCACCTTCCCGTCCTCAGAACTCCTCAGCGGCTCCCTGGGGGGCTTGGTGTCAAAGGTACCCCAGAAATCTTCCTGAGCACCTACTATATGTCAGGGATTCCTTGTTGAAGAGCAAGCCCCTGGAGCTTAGCATCTCAATGTGGCCTCTCACTGTGTCCACGGGGTCTGTCAGGACATCTGTCCTGGGAGTGTGGGGACAGCTGTCCCTAATCCTGACAGCTGAGAGGACTGGGAGGCGGGGGTGATGGGACTTTTGAGTGATGCAGCCATGGGCAGTGTCTTCCCACAGGGGCCTGGCGGGTGGGGCTGGAAGAGTGTCCCCACACTGTTAGCCTGTGCCTGGGGCCTTCCACTCAGCATGTTGGCTGGCTCCCCTCAGAAGCATCCCAGAGAGAAAGGCTGTGCATCTGAAGCCACCCCCAAACCTTACGGGGACACGCTTGGAAAATGCAGCTGCCAGGGCAGGCTTCAGAGGACAGAAATGAGCCTCACAGTAACTTAGTAAATAGTTTCCCACTGCTCGGGCACGACTCGGGCACGACTCACCACACGCTTTCTGGGTCAGGGAAGGGTATTATGGTTTGGACATGAGGTGCCTCCCTAAAAGCTCACATGTGAGACAACGCAAGATGTTCAGAGGAGAAATGAGTGGGTTGTAAGAGTCTTAACCCCTGATAGGGATCTATGGAGTGGTCAGTGAAGTGACAGTGAGTGTGGGTGGAGGATGTGAGCATTGGGACGTGGCTATGGGACATATACTCTCTGCTTCCTGATCATGATGCGAGCTGCTTTGCTCTGCCACACTCTCCGGCCACCATGTTCTGCCTTGCCTGGAGCCCAAGGAATGCAGCAGCCTCCTATGGACTACGGCCTGAAGCTGTGAGCCCTCAAGTAAACTCTCCTCTTCTGTAGTTGTTCTGGTTGGGTCCTTTAGTCACAGCAGCACAGAAGCTAAGACCAAGGGTCCTCCCCAGCACAGTCTGGCTGCAGAAAACACCATTCCTTGCTGGCTGGCGGCTGGAGGCTGCCTGGGCTCCTTGCCACACGGCGCTCCCACCACGGTCTCCGGCTTCCCCAGGCCAGCAGGGGCTGCGCCACTGGTCTTAGGTCCAATGGTGACTGACAGTGACAAACCCAACCCAGACCTCCCTCCGCCTTGGCATGGACTATTGGTGAATAGCAGGCCACAGGTGCTGCCCCAGGAAAGGGCACCTGTGATGGTCTGGATATGAGGTGTCCCCCCAAGCTTGTTTGGAGGTGAAAGGTGCTGGGGTGAGCCTCAGCCTGCTCAGTGCAAGAAACCCAACAGGGACGCGCCGCCGGTGAGTGCGGCAG